AATCTACCTAATGGCCTAAGTTTCATCTCCTTCTGCTTCCAAACAAGAATCCTAGAACTCTTGATGTCAAGACAAGCATTTATACATTAAGCACTTAAATTAGGTGTCTCCCTTCATATAACATTAACATTCCCAAAACCACATGCATCATACTTATTCACACATAAACATATCATATATCATATAAATTATCAACACCTAACATTGTACATTTGCATGATTGACCATTCTCTAAAAACATGGAAGGCCAAATAACTAAAATGCCTAAGTTAATACTAATGGCTACATGTAAATGGCATATAGTTAACAAATGACAACCAATCCTAAGTTGGAAAAATAGGCATTCAATTACACTATAAGAAGATTAGAGATTTTACAATGACAAGCTCTAGTCTTTAGCCTTGAAGGCTTCCCCTTTTCTATTTGCCTTGATGTCTCCTAGAAAGTATTAGCAAATGAGAGTGAGATTGTACAATTTCAGCAATTAAGTAACTTAACTAAAGCATATTAAATGTGACAATTAAGAACAAGCAAAGTACAATAACAAATAAGGAAAGTCATATGATATCATTAAAGCATCACTAAGCAATAAATCACATGATCAAATGCAACCACCTTATTTCACTTATATCATTTGACCAAATCTATGGGCTACTAACTCATACGAGCCTAATCCATATGACTAGGCTGGCTCTGCTCTTTAGTTGTAAGGAGTTACTGGGCTAAAGATCTCCATACTCATTCTTAGACTATAGATTTTCCTTTCTCGAATGACAGTGTATCATACTTGTTTGACCCATACCATACTTGTAGAGACCTATGATACTAAGTATCATACCTGAAGCATGTCATACTTGAAAGTTAATGACAATACCAAACATATATATTAAATATATATGTCAACTACCATGCACAAACTTAGTAGAGGCCACACCATGTGAATTTTTCCAATAATACCATCTACTACTCTAAAGTGAATTCCTACTTATTTATGATCATGTAAGTTCATATGCAATTGCAATAGCATACCCATAATCACATGTCAACAATTTAATATTCCATAGCTCATGAACTTGCATGCTTTTCTTAACATACACATCATCATATCCAATTCAAACGCACAATTATCATGATTGCATTATCAATGTATATTCAATTCAACCTATCAGATCCATGCCATAATCATATAACCAAGTGACACATCCTTTCCAAGCATAATCTCAACAAAAAAAGACAAATTTAACAACCCATGTATCAATCAAATGCAACAAAAGTTCATTCATGCATCCATCCATTAAGTCATGGCTTTAATAGCAATATAAAGCTTTTAATAAGCAAAAACAATTATATATTAAAATTAAATTTTGGATTATTTCAACTCTTAGGTTTACCAACCCCAAGAGTATAATTTGGATTTTTGAGGCAGCTTTCTAACAATTTGACAAGCTCCAAGCAATCACTCTTTATATGGAGGTTAATAAACATCATTAATGACTAATCACATTAATTAACTCTTAATCATTATTACGGCTTAATTCCTTCATTAAACATGATTAAGAATAAACCCAAAAACCCACTTCCTTTAACTTATTTAACTTCTAATAAGCTTAATAAACATTTTTAGCTACCCTCATTAACTTAAACTTAATTATTTAGTATTAGAGTTAACTTTAGACCCCTTATTGAGGCATTTAAAGTTGCCAACTACCAAAATCCAAGATAAGAAACTTAAATGACTCTTATTAGACTTCATTGAAGTCATAAGACTGGTTGAAATTTGGCCCTAGATTCAAGCCTTGCTCCAACAGCTTGAAGAAGAAGAAGAAAAATCCAACAAGAGATTAGGGAAGAAAAGAGAAGACTTACCTACAGCATTACAAGCTCAAAAATGCCTCAAATAGTCTCCTAGGATGAACCCTATCAAAGCCCCCTCAGTTCTCTCTCGGTGTCCACTAAAAATCACACTTCTACTTCAACTTGAGATGCATAATTCATATTTAAATTTTCTATACATCTACTATAGCGAATGACACAATGTGGAGACTCACTTATAAGCCCATTAATTTGGGCCCAAGATAACCTATTAGCTTCCTAAGCCCTATTTTAAGTCTCATGTATGGTCTAATAAAAAGCCGTCTAAACTCTCTTTAATTAACTTCTAATTAAATTAATTAACTCATTAAACCTTTCAATTAATTTATTTAACTCTTAGATTAAGTTTTGTGATATTACATCCCATAATTCATTTTTTTAATATTTTTTCACTCTCTTTCCGTCTCCTCCTCTCCTATCTCTACTCCCTACTTTCTCCGTCCCCCTTCATCTCCCCTCCCTCTCCTCTCTATGTTCTCTCTCTCTTCCAACCATGTATATATTCTCTCCATGCAACTTGTTTCATTATCTTGCTTCCTCTTATCATTATCTCTCCTAATGTTTCCTACTCTCTCCTCCATTCTCAATTTGGTCCCTACTCCTATGTTGCTCCTAACTTAAATAAACCATAAAGAAGAGCAAAAAGAAAGGAGAGAGAGCTATGATGGAATTTATCTTCTTTATTAGTGGAGTCATGTTATGAGTCTTATATTGAGAGGCTACATTAATGGAATGTGGTTTATAAGTTAGCTGGCCACCCTCCTCCTATGAGACACCTTTTAAGGGTGAGTTCTACCTAAAGGGTTTGTGATCATGAAATGGTGCTCTTGTTGAGAGTCATAGTTTGTGAAAAGGGCTGCTCATAGAAGGGCTGATTAGCCGAAGGCCAAGTGAAATGTCATGAAGCATAAGCCGTCGTGGAAGCTAACTTTAGAGGGGTGGGCTATGTTATGAGTCCTACATCGAGAGGCCGCATTGGTGGAGTGTGGTTTATAAGTCAAATAGGTACTCTCTCCCTATGAGGTGCCTTTTGTTGATAAGTTCTACCCAAAAGGCTTGTGATCATGACATTGATATGTTATGGTTTATAAGTTAGATGGGCAACCCTTCCTTTATAAGGCACTTTTTAAGGGTAAGCTCTACCCAGAGAGCTTGTAGTTGTGACATTATCATTATCTTCTCTCCTTTCTCTCTCTCTCTCTCTCTATGTGTCTCCCTCTCTCCATCCACCTTTCATTCTTCTATTCTTCCACGACATGCCAACAAAATGACCCTTCAAGAAGAAAATCTTAAATTCACACAAGGAGGAGGAAAAAAGGAAATGATTTGATGAGGAGGAACTCCCTGAAAGACTTGTTTGAGTCTTTACTTCCGAACAATGAAGAAGGTAAGAGAGAAATCAACATGAGTAAGAATAGAAGAGAGAGAACTCACCAAAAGACATTATGGAGTTCTTGGATAAGGTTCATGTTCTTCCACCTTTGTTTTCTATTCAAAGAACAAAGATAAATAGAATGGCATTTTCTGTTCTCGTTGATCTATTGGTAGTCTTGGAGAAGATGAAGCTCTATGGTCTTCAAGTACCAAAATATCAGTAATGATGCGATTCTTGCTAACTTGATGCTAATGACTGGTTGCATGTAGGATGCTGAGATTTAGGCCTATATATGTGGTCTAAAAATTGTGTGGGATGTAAGGTACTGGTTGAACTTGATAGTGATAGTGTGAAGATAAGTCACATGCGATGAAGTAGTAATGGTGTTAGACTTCACAACTAAGTATAGACTTGCTGTTATGCTTAGACTTCACATGGTCAATGAAGAAAGAAAGGAGATAGAATGGGAAGGAGGGAGAGAGAGTAGGGGATGGAGAGAGAGAAAGTTAGTGCAATATTAAAAAAATATTAAAACGTCAAAAGAGAAAAAGGGAAGTCAAAAAGAGAGGGGAGGGTTACATTAAATATTTTACAATAAAAAAATATTAAAAAAGTGTGGAACCTACTTGTAATATTTTATAATAAAAATATTAAAAAATAAATTATAAAATAAAATTTAGGGTATTCAATGATCTTTAAATAAAGTTGATACGTAAAAAGACCCTTAACCTTTTTTAAAATCTTAATTATATTTTTCCTATATAAATAATTATCCTTTTTATTAATTTATGTCACTATTATCAATATTCCATCATTCATGTTAATAGATTCTAATAATATTATCTTCTCTTTAAATAATAAAATTAAATTGATAAAAATTAAATTTGATAAATCAAATTAATAACTAAAATAAATTTAAAAGATTGAAAATTTTGTTATTCATTTTTATTGTTAACCTTTGTAATTCAAGATTTTTCTTAGGAAAATCTCACTTAGGGTCCCCAAAATACAAAAATTTGTATTTAGGGCTTAATAAAATTTGAAAATGCACTGCAGGCTTAAGAGTTTTTTTGCAAATTTTGTTGTGGACAAAAAAAATACATTTACCTTATCTTAATAGAGTATCCATGTATGTATAAAATGATGTTCATGAATTCTTAATATAGTATTCATGAATACACAACATATTTAATGAACATTAACTTGTAGTATGTTGTTTTAATAAAAATATGTTATTCATTATGGACTTTATGTTGTACAAATGTTGCAAGTCTACATATATTTACTGTATTGAGAATTGATAGATATTGTGTTATGAATTTATGAATATTGTGCTATTCATTCTTTGCTTGCTTATACATTTCACTTTAAGTTAAATCATGTCTACTAAATGTATTGTGCATTTATAGATATTGTGTTAAAGATTAGTAAATATCGTGTTGTGCATATATAAACATTCTGTTCAAACAAGGGCACATGCATCATTCACAACAAAATTTGCAAGATAGGTCATCAAGTTTGCGGTATGTTTTTAGATCTTATTAAACACTCAATGTCAATTTTTTGTATTCATGGGAACCTAAATGAGATTCTCCCCCTTTTTTTTCCACACATATTTTTGGGCTGACCATTATTATTATTATTATTTATTATTATTTTAATAACCTGAAGTCCGGCGGATAATCATGATCAACGCGATGCTGAGTAAACAACTAAACATGGAAGCAAAAGGAAGCCTTTATGATAATGATTTAATTTTATTACCTTTCCTTTACAATCCCAAGTTGATCGGTCCAGGGTTCGAGCTCCGACTCCGAGGGCTACACACAGGCCTACACTTGAGTGCAGGGTGTTGGGTAAGGGTAAGGTAGTAAAATGGAGGAGAAAGGAAAGGGAAGCGAGAGATGGAGCGGAGCCATCACCAATCTGACGGAGATGTCTTCCAATTTGGATTCACTCCAAAAGTTGCTCCTCAAGAAAGCCGTTTTTGTCGACGAAGACACTTTTGCCAGAGCCTCTCTTGCTGCTGAACAATCCCGCACCATTAAGGTTTTCCTTTCTCAATCTTTCTATACCTACCGTTGCTCATGTCGCTTCGATTGAATATGATCTGCTGTGTATAATGGGTCTCGCGGTTTTGAAACTCAGATTTATTTTGTAGTACTTCAACCTTTCGTGGTTATCCTAACGAGTGCTATCCTTTTTGCCCTTGTTTGAACTTTGAAATCTGCTGTTGATTTCGCTATTCGGATTAAGATATGTTGCATATAGTGGGTAGCATCTTTCAAATTTAACTTCCGATTGTGTATGATGTATAATTCAGTGAGGCTTCAATTCTTTTCTTTTCTCACTGTTCATCGATCTACGGAAAATTTGTAGTTCTTGACCCCTTTCTGATTATATTGATGTGTGTTTTTCTGTTTCCCTTTTTGCTTGAGTTTGTTAAATAGGAGCTTCAGTCTCGTTTGTGTTGAATCGTTTTGTGTTAGTTTGTTGTTGTGCTTTCATGCTGAGTGTTTGAGTTCTAATCACTAATCACTATCCTAATACTACTCTACCTTGAATAACTATGCTACCCCTTATGAGGTTGTGTCAGTTATTAAATATGCACGTAAAGTAGTCTATTGCCCTTGCCTGACTTAATGAAGGCTAATATACTGGAAGAGAATAAAACGGCAAATATTCTTCTGGGTCAGTGATTGGTCTTCAAGTGTTAGATTTTGCCATCCCAGATTTCTTGATGTAAGGAGCATTGATTCAGTATATTCTTGTTAGTTTTCCAGTGTATGTGCAATCACTACTGCATATACCTGATATTCTGCTTTTTGAAATCAATAATTGATCTATTACTATACGATAGGAAGCCTTCCCTTCCACTCATTGCCTCCCTCCTTCTCTGGTCTCTGATATTATGAGAGACTGATATAATTCAGGACAATTTTTGACTAGGTTCTTCAGCAGAGAGTGGAGACATTGGAAAGAGAACTTGATGCTGCCATCACTGCTGCTGCTCATGCCCGTTCCGAAAAGCGGCAAGCTGAAGCAGCACAGAAAGCGGCTGAATTACATGCACAAGAGATTACAAAAGAGCTTGAGAACACCACAAGTATGTTGAATTCAAATATACCATTTTCCCCTTTAATAATTTGGGAAGTGATTGTTTTTGGGTAGAATACTAGTGATTTCTTCACAAATATATAGGAATTGAGTAACTCCTATTTGAACTATACCTTTTGCCTTTCCTCATCAATAAGCGCTATGCTGGAGCTCTTTCTTGGTCAATTCTAATGTTGAAATTAAAATTCAGGATATTACTGCAGGGACAATTTTATTTTCAATTTTTGTTGAATTGCTTATTTTCACTTTATGCGAATTCAATGAATGTTGTTGGGGTTGCAAAGGAAGTGTGGTTTGAAGCTGCCTCTTCATTTTAAGTCCACATTCAGCTCCAATCTTAGCAGGACAAAGTTACACCACATGAATCCAAAACATTTTATGCTCAGATTGAGTGAATATGCATAAAGATAATGTTGGCTAATTTATTTGGTTTGTTCATCTAGCATGGATCTTGGAAATATTGAGAGAGTAGTTTTTGTTCCTCTGTGGATTCATATAGAACCTGATGAGAAGAGTATAGAGAATGGAATTTTCCGTTGGTAGTTGGTTTTGGCATTGCTATTTGGCCTGGATTCTAAAAATTTCATGTTATGATAGTCCCATGGAGAGATACAGCTATAAAAATGACCTTTTTTTGTTTTGAGTGAAATCTGGATACTTCATTCAAAAAAGAATGTGTACAAAAAAGTACAAAACTGCAAATGAAGTAAAAAGCAAAAAAACGCAAAAACCAACCAAAGCAAAAGTGGGAGCTTGGTCGTACAAGTTATAATCATTAATAAGACTAAAAGTTAACTTAGCAAGGTAATCAGCAATCCTATTTTCTTCTCTATGCAAAAAATGAAATTGGACATCCCAATCCCTACGCAAAAGTTTCTTGGTTGAATCAATAATGTGTTGGAAAGGATGATAATTATGGTTGTTCCTTGTGATTGTAGAAATGGCATTCGTACAATCACCAAAGACCTCCATAATCCTGAAACCTTTCTTGCAACAAATTTCAGCTTTGAAAATGACCTTTACTGCTAGAGAAATAGACTGTTTCCAGTATAAAATTGCTGACATTGAAATCATCAATGATAGAAATGTTACAGTGCAAAAATTATTCACTTATATGCTATACTTTTCTTGAACACATGGCATTGCGACCTAGCCTTAATTTTTTTTTATTTGAAATATGGCGGCAATGCAATCAAGATTTAGGTTGATTTAAACATTTTTCAAGAAAAAAATTGAAATCGTTTTTATACATGTACTTTTTTGGGTACTTGGGTGTAGATTCTCTACCATAATTGGAGAGCACAGCATTGTGTGCTGTACCTCTATACTAGGGCTTGTCCTATTTTCTAATACCTCACCTGTGAAATTTACAACCTATTTTCTAATACCTCACCTGTGAAATTTACATGTCTAGAGGTAAAATTGTGATGTGTCATTTGGACCCAGGTTTTGTATGGATGAAAAATCATTCTTATGCCAAAAGACAATATATTTTGAATGTTAGGTTTACTGAAAAAATGTACATACATGCATATACACACTTTAAAAGGATGATTCCCTTGCTGGGGACTGCATGACGTATTGTGTTTTTAAATAACAAGAATCAGGCATAAAAAAAAGCTTCTGACTTTTTTTTTTTTTTTTTGTGTGCCAATCAACTTGAAACTCAGTTGCAATTTCTTGAAGTTGTGACCTGATTAGGCCAAAAAGAAAGTCTTGAAAGTTTTTACCCACAGGGAATGCCATCAAGTTAAAAAGAAGCATTTATCAATGCATAACTTTTTCGCATTATAGCATTTGTATATTTATTTATTATTTTAATCGTAACCTTCTCAAAGTATGGAAATAGACCTCATTCTTGGGTCTCTGCATATGGGACTATTTACGCCGCGTAGGATATCATGGATGCAGATGTAGCAACGAGTCCAAAAATTAACTTACCATATTTGAATATTCAAGTTTACCATCAGACCATTCAAAATGCATTGCCATTTTCCCTCCTAGTTCTTGGTATTTGTTCCTTTACGGATAGAAATCCCCAGACTGAGAAAACAAACTTCATTCCACTTGTCAATTTCATATTTGAGTTGCAGGAATATACTTGAGCTTTCAAACCTGAGTTATATCTGAACTTCCTACTTCAAACCATGTCTTAGAATTTCCATGGCTATCAGTTTCAACAAGTGCAATATGGGATAGGGAGAGTTGGATGATCCAGTTATGGGTCATTTGTTTTCCTGTCACAGTAGAAATCTGAATCACATGTGGTGTCTCATGGGCCAAGCTA